GTTCAATCCCCAGTTCTGCAAAAAAAAAAAAAAAAATTGTACTATGGTGCCACATCATCTTTCTTGTTTTATAATCATATAATAGACATAATTTTTGTAAAATTTCCTTTACTAATAAACACTTACAATAAATCCAATAAATTTAATTGATATTATCTATATAATATGTGTATCTTTTAATTATGATATATATTATTCCTAAACACTCATAAGTTTGAAAATCTGAAATAAAATTCTCTCATTCTCAATTTATCTTTTAAAGGTACAATCTGAAATCAGTGAAATATTGAACAAAAGTATTATTGAAGTAGAAAGCCCACAATTTAGCTCAGAAAAGAATCTATTATTCGGCATACACACTGAAAAGGATTTGGTATGTTATTCTATACAAATTACTCTTATGTTTGGATAGTTCCCCCACAACTAGTTTATCTTCTTTACATTCTGCCTCTCTTCACAGGAAGAATGGCATATCAGAGATGAAAATAAAGAAATTTCTGTCTTGAAAACCTTAAATGATGTGAGTTTACTTCTGTACTTTCTTTCTTTTTTTCTTTCTTTCTTTCTTTTTGCTTTTTTTTTTTTTTTTTTTTTTTTTTTTAGAACCAGGGATTGGACTCAGGCCCTTGCACTTGCCAGGAACTTCTGTACTTTCTGCAAGTTTATTACTTCTTTTAGGAAGGTCTATGAGAGATGTGACTTAATCCAGATACTGAAAGATTCCCAAGTAGATGTGAATGCAAAGCAACTTGTACAGCCCATCTGTCCACCAAGCGTTGACAAAAACCTAGATTGCATTCCCCAAAACGGAAATTATCTTTTGGGGATAGTTACAGTCCTAAAATCATGCATAGTTAGAAGTGCTAGTAAAGGTTGACAATCTCCCATGAAATAGAAATATTTGTTTTCCTTAAACTCATTTGTTCTGTGAACTTCCTCACCTATCTATGATGGTCTTTTGAAGGACACTAAATTTCTGTTTCTGAATTGAGGGGCTGGCTCAGGCATCTCATCCCTTAGAAAATAAGTACAGTTCTAAGCAAATAATTGTTGTGCCAACTTAGAAACACACACTCTATGTAAGTTCCTTTTTTTTTTTTTTTTTTTTTGGTGCTGAGGATTGAACTCAAGACCTTGTGCTTGCCACACAGTGAGCTAACTCCCTAGCTTGAGACACACACTCTAAAAAGAATCTTATTTAATATTCTAGAGGGAAAAAGCCTTATTTGTAAGGGGGTTTTAAGTGTAAAAATAGATAAATTGTTTGTTTGATTATAGAATGAAAATCCTTCACAAAATACTATCTTAATTTCTTAGTCAAGTGGCAAGTGATAGTTTATTTATCATGTACTTTCACTATTACCAGGCTGTAGAGAAGCAAGAAGAAATCCTTTCTATGGAGAAAATTCATCATTGTGAAGCTTCCAAGACACTTCAATCAAGGGAAGAAAAATTCAGTAGCAACAATGTTAACAGTCTCTCTCAAAGTATAAATATTCCATCTCAGATACATTTCAAAGATAAAGTAACTCTTGAGAATTTAAGACCTTCCACAGATAATTCACCTTCAAACATAATTATCAACCCTTCAGAAAAGTCTGACATGTTGAAGAATTACAATAATATTTACAGTTTTCTGCCTATGATACCTCAAAATGTTATGTCTCCATCTAATGCAGTAATTCTTCACAAATCTAAAATTGCTGTGCCTATTCAAAAAAATGGATTTTGTGAAAATTTAGATGATATTTGCCACTCTATTAAGCAAATGAAGGAAGAGCTTCAAAAGTCACACAATAGGGAAGTGGCACTTACAAATGAACTGCAAACTTTAAAAACAGATACAAATATTCAAAATAATGATAAATATGACCTGTTCCCCAGTGAAAAGGAAAAAACTAATTTTATTGAGGAAAAAAACTTAAATGATAATTTAAATGAAGATATAAAATTAAAGAGAATTGCAGAATTGGAGACATTAGTAAACAAATTACTCCCACTCAGGCAAACAAAATTCCATGTACATTTCTGTAGGAAATGTAAAAAATTATCTAAGAGTGAAATACACAGGAGTAAAAAGAATGAAAAAAAATATAAAGATATTCCTATCACAGGCAAGAATATTACAGATGCAAAATTCCATTCCAGAGTTCCAGGATATACACTGTCATCTTTTGACCAAACAAAATGTGAAGTAAAAGGCCAAGAAGCACAATCATTTGTAGTACAACAAGGACCAGGACTACTCAAGAATGAGAAGACATCCAAATTTAATTCTGTTACTGATCAGTGTGTTGCAAAAATTCAGTACTTACAAAATTATCTAAAAGAATCTATGCAAACACAGAAAAAAGTAACAGAACTGGAGAATGAGAACCTCACCCTTAAGACCAAAATGAGACCTCTTATCTTGACTACACAATCTCTGATACAGAAAATTGAAATATATGAAAAACAACTTAAGAATGTGGTTGAAGAAAAGAACTCTATTCAGTCCAAGTTAATTAAAACAGAAGAAGACAGTAAAGAAAGTCTTAAGGAACTTAAGAAAATCATCAGTAACTATAATGTTCTCCAAGGCCAAAATAAAATGCTAGAAGAAAAAATGAATCAACTTTCTTTGGAGAAGCAACAAATGATAGAAGCATTAGACCAACTAAAAGATAAAGAACATAAAACTCAAAATGATATGGTGATTGTAAATAATGAAAATAATCGAATGAGTATAGAAATGGAAGCAATGAAAACAAGTATTCTGTTGATACAAGATGAGAAAGAAATGTTAGAGAAAAAAACATACCAACTTCTACAGGACAAAAGCTCACTTGAAAATGAACTAAAGGAAAAGCAGTTGGACATCATGCAGCTAAAAGAGAAAGAGAGGCTGGCAAAAACTGAGCAAAAGACACTTATTCAAATAATAGAAACATTTAAAAATGAAAAAGCCAATCTTGAAATAACATTACAAGAATCTACTACTGCCAGGCAAATGATGGAAAGGGAAATTGAGAATATTCAAACCTGCCAATCGACTACAGAAGAGAATCTTCTGAAAGAAATAAACAATGCAAAATCAGAAGCAAATATTTATAAAAACAGCTTATCAGAAATCAGCAAGGAATGTGAAATGTTATCTAAAATGGTAATGGAAATTAAGACAGACAATCAGATTCTAAAAGAAGAGCTAAAAAAGCATAGTCAAGAAAATATAAAATTTGAAGACAGCATCACTAGACTTACAGAAGACAAAATACTTTTAGAGAACTATGTACGAAGTATAGAAAATGAGAGGGATACCTTGGAATTTGAGATGCGGAATCTTCAACGAGAATACTTGAGTTTAAGTGATAAAATCTGTACTCAGAATAATGATCTACTAAAAATGGCTTACATTCAAAGAAGAGAGAAATTCCATTTAGACAATTATACTTGTCAAGACACTTCTAGTCCTAGAAGTAGGCCTTTAGCTCCTGATTTGAAAGGTATGTACATTGTGGTAGATTAGCAGAGATGCACTGAAAATGCTTTTAGCTTCTTGAACACTAACCAGAGTATAGAAATAAAAAGAAAACTTTAGGATGAATATAATTTACTTTTGTAAGATTTGCATCTAATTTATTAAATAATAGAACTTGTTAGAAATTCTATTCTTTAAGGGCCGGCCAGATAGCTCATAGAACTAAAGCACCTGCTTAGGTAGGTACATGGATCTGGGTTCAGAGACTGGGCATGGTGGTGTGTGCCTGTAATCCCAGCACTTGGGAGGCCAAAAACAAGAGGGTCACTATGAGTCCAATCTGTGCAGTGAGACCTTGTAGACCCTGTACTAAAATACATTTTAAAAAATAAATTCTATTCTTTAGATAAAACTCTATTTATGTTATGTACACTGAAAATACATAAGGCATCTTCAGCAAAGAACAAGGGTTTTTGAATTGTTATTCTGAAGTACACTAAACATTTCCACCTTAAAAAACATCTTTTTTTTTTCTTCCAGGAATTCCAAGCAAACTGTATCAATTGCTTCCACCCAAGATATATAAATAAATTTCTAAAATCAATGTTTCAAAACCTTTTGCTCAAGTATTTTTTCCAAAAAAATCCTAAATTCACTTTTACATATGATTACAATGAACTTGTAATTAGACCATTGTAAACTTAGTATTGATATAACTACTGCTTAACATTCTATTTCCTGGGGGCTGGAGAGATGGCTCAGTGGTGTAAAGCACCTACTTGGAACAAGCTTGGCAAAGCACAGGGACTGCGGTTCGATCCCCCAGCACCACATGCCAGCCAGCCACTCCCCCTGGTGGGCTGAGCTGGCCACACACACACACACACACACACACACACATTTAAAAAAAAATTCTATTTCCTATAGGGTGTGTGTTAGTTATTTAACGTCTCTTAAATGTTAAGCCCTTCTCCATGATCAACTTAATCTCCATAATATGTTTCAATTCTCAGCCTTAACCAAATGAGGTGGGATCATTTATAACAGAGATTAATAGCTAACTAAGCATGCTTATTACTTCTTCCCTTATTCACTGATGTCTGCTACAACCTGAGTACAGCATAATGGGAAGCCCGGTAACTTGATGCCTACGTTGTCCAGAGGTAGAATGCCAGTAACACTGACTCTTGCTTCATCCTATCTGGGTCTCTGTAGGGACTCTTTGTTCTCTCAGTGTACCCCAAGGAGAAACAGCAGCAAGAATGAGGAAAAGGGGGCCAGCCTGATAGCTCAACAGACTAAAGTGCCTGCTTAGGCCCAGCACAGCAGCTGGGGTTTGATCCCTGGTGTGCCATGCCGGGCCCTACCTGCGGGGCGTGCTGAGCCAGCAATTGAGACTGGGTGTGACGGTGTGCACCAATAATCTCAGCACTTGGGAGGCTGAAAACAAGAGAATCACTATGAGTCTGATCTATGTAGTGAGACCCTGTAGGCCCTGTAGACCCTGCCCTAAATACAGGGGAAAAAAAAAGAATAAAAGAATAAGGAAAAGATAGACAAGAAGACAAGAGCTGGGTCAGATGGTGGCCCATTTGCCTGATTGGCAAAGGACCCCAAAGCACAACAGTAGGGATGTTTGTTTATACCTTTGAAAGTTAACATCACGAGACACAAGGTTACCAGGTGACTGATATCTAACACTGACCAGGCAAGAATGAGGTAGCTTGACTGCTTTAGGCACTATGACCTTGTCCTGCCCTCGCACATGTGAACAATTTCCAGCTTCAGTAGCTCCCAACATCTCTCCCTTTTCAGTTTTATTGTATAAATGATGGGAATTCCATTGCAGCTGGAGGAGCTACTTTTAGAAAACTGTTTAGACCATTTCATTCTTGATGCCAGTCCAAGACTTTGGGTACCTGTTTACAGCAATTTAACCCCACACATCCAATAATCCATAACAATAATGATTTACTGTATAGCTGCCAATTGTCAGAAGCTATTAATGATTTGAACCTTTTACAGCTAGCATATTATTATGGCACTGCTTTTCACATCTTGTGGTTATATTTTTCTGCTGGGTGGTTAAGACCAAGTTAAGGTAAGATCTTAACTTTCTATCAAATTCAATTAAATCACCTCAGAATTCACCTTGGAACCAGGTACAGCACCTCTTAGATCATCTGTCAGTGTCAGCCATCTGGATGAATCATGGCCATTCCTTGACTAAGTTGCTTTCTATGAAAGCTTGAGAGATTTTCTCTCTCCAGGTGACTCTCCTCAGGCACACTATACAACATAGAATCACTTTCTTCTGTGGTCCCATAATCTCCTTGATCAGAAAACAAGGACTCAACTGAGTTATAGGATGTTACAGCACAGGCTCTCTTATATTCTGAGTCCTTGCTCACCTTGGAGGGCTAAGGCCAAATATCAGCTATCCTCTTAGCCCATCTATCTGTATAATTTTTGGTCTCCAAACCTCCAGTTGTTAAACATCCAGAAGAAAAGCTTAACGACATTACCTTGTAATGGAGGCAGTAAGTTTAATATTACTATCTCATCTGAATGTCAAACACCTTAGACATAAAACAAAACCATTGTTTTCTAACAACTGTGGATATTCCAACATTTAAATCTCTATAGAATGTTAACAGACAAAAATTATACATTTTTACACAGAAAATTAGAAATCAAAATTATACCTAACTTTGGCACATGACAATCCTGGAGACATTTTGTAACATATGTATATTTTCATTTTGACGTAGCATAACCCTTTTAACTAATCATATCTATGTAACATATAAGAAGCTTTTCTCTAACTTGTTGCCCTCTAATGGAATATATGTCATGTAAATTTTTTGTTAAAGGCAGAGTTCTGAATGTAAATGAAAATTATCCAATAAACAATCTTTGTTTTATATTTTGGAAGATCTGTATGTCTAGAATCATGAATACATATAATACATCATGAGATTAACAACAATGAATTACTATACACATGTGAAAATCTTTCTTAGTTTTGCACCAAGAGAATCTTTTATGAGAAAACCTTATTGCATTTTTTTCTGAAAAACTTTATTTTAACCAATGACCAAATTATTGGGGATGTCTCCTAAAAGACCATAGAGATTATTGTGAGCTCTTTATTAATTAACAAAGGTTGGCCACCCCTCTATTCACTAATTAGAGTCTTGCCCAAAAATTATTCCACACCTAAAGAATTTTTATTTCTTTAATTTTTAGATGACCTGTGATTAAGCCAATTTTGATATCACTAGGCCATCTGGTAACTCAGGAGAAAGCATGCTTTTAAATCTATATCCCAAAGTGTATTATGAACAAATGAGCAAAACAGAGAAAAACTGTTGAGCTCAAATACAAAGAGGAACAGCTGTTCACGGAATGATATACAGACATATAAACAAATACACATGACACACAAATATCTTTACAAAATCAGAGTTTGATCAAGTATGTGCTAGACCAAATTAAATTATAGCAACTACAGATAGTGAGCTTAAGCTCAACTGCCTATGTTGTAGGATAATAATAATAATAATAATAATAATAATAAGCTTCTTTTCTTGAGAGTTAACAACTTAAGTTTGCAGACCAAAAATTCTCAAAACAAGTGCTGCAAGGACAGCCAACATTTTAGCCCTAGGCTTTCAAGGTCAGTGAGGACTCAGGACATAGGAGAACCTGTACTGTAACATCATGTGACTCAATTTTCTGACCAAGGAGATTCTGGGGCCACAGAGGAAAGTGATCAATGATGTAGAGATGTAGAGTGTGCCTAAGAAGAGTCACATGGAGAGAAAACATTCTCTTAGGCTTTCACAGAAAGTAAATTGGTCAAGCAATGGCCATGACTCATCCACATGGCTGACACTGACAAAGAATCTACAAACTGCGGTACAGGGTTTCAGGATAAATCCTGAGGGGATTTGACTGACCTTGTCAGATATAAAAGTTACATTTCTTATTATATAGGTCTTGCTTTATCTTGGTCTTAACTATCAAGCAGAAGAGTGTAAAAACAAGGTCTGAAAAGTAAAGCCATATTAATAGGCTGAGTTGTAAAAGGCTCAAGTCAACAACTTCTGACATTGTCAGTCCTACAGAAAAAGCACTACTATTGTGGACTACTGGACTATATTGGAATATTTTGCTGAATTCATACACCTACAATATTTAAATGACAATGGAATACCCATCTCTGATAAAACTAAACAAAAAAGAGATACAAATGAAGGACCATTTTGTATCTGTATATATAAAATAGGATAGATATACAGCTACTTTCTCTTAATTCAATGAATTGAAAGATTTGTACTAATAGTGTTGTGGACAGGATATCATGTCTGCATTTTGTACTATGAATAACCACAAAAATGACAACAATATGCAATGTATTAATTATTGAAACTGTCCTAACTGGTTTTGAAACAGTCTCATTGCTATTTATTTCTCAATAAAATTATTTTAAAAAGTATAGTAACTAGTAAAATTTTTGGAAATTTACAATTATAGACTAGTAGTATTTTGTTATTTATGAATTAGCAGAGATCTAAGATAAGTTTTGGAAGGAATAAGATCTTTTATCTATAGTATGCATATTTTGTATTTTATTTTGTCTTAAGAATATCTCTGTATACTCTATCACCTATTTAGACCTTAGATTTCCATTTTGTCAGTTCCTTCAATAGGCCCCAGGTCCAACCTAGCCTCTAGCCTCATCGTTGTTAACTTCTTCTCCAGATCTGACTTCGTGATACAGCCTGACTTCACACTCTGGTACTCAAATAGTGCACTCAACATTCTCTGGAAAACACAAGCATATCCTCTACCCCTGTCTTTGTCTGCTCCCTTAGCACACATTCAGCAGAACCATTTTTTTACGTTCACTAAATGATATATTGCAAGCTGAAGTTTCTGTCACAGGACAGGCATTTGTCTTTGCAGCTCCCACACAGGTCTTGACAATGGGGGTGTTGGGTGAAGTCTTACAGAACAAGGACACCTAGTTCTTTTACAACTCTGACAGGTGATATCCTCCAATCAATAAGAGTTGTAAGGTTTCTGACAAGTTCTGCAAAACTGGAGTAAACCCTGCTTATGCTCTGTACACACCACACATATGCACTTTCCCAGCAGATGTTACAGTTCTTGCAGTGATTATAGCCATATTTCTGCTGGGAGCACAGACACTCCCTGCCTGGCTCAGTGCCCAGTGGTGACCTCTCCTGTGCAGGGTAAAGTAGGTTTCCTGGGATCCAGGCCACGCATGGCAGCATTTGCTGCGTGGGTATGCCCTGCACCAAGGCATCACACCTTGGCTTCACCTTCACCCTCGAATTGCAGCAGCTGGACCTGCAGAGGAACAGCCCAAAGCCCAGGCTCACATGTGACTGGAGTGCTAGCTATGCATGCTGGAAGCAATCTAGGGACTCAGCGGCCAACAGCTACCCGTGGCCTGGTGTGGCAGTTGAAACATTGTGTCACCTTGGCTGGATTGGCTCCGGCAGTTCCTGGGGCGCGGGCAGGGCCCAACCTGGGGTGCTACTGGGCTGGCACTGGGGTA